AAACAGATGAAAAAAAGAATCAAAGTAAAATTAAGAAACCCAATAAAAAATAAAAACAAAGAAAAAAAATTAGAAAATAAAAAAAGAAGAAAATCAATGCAAGAGAATGAAAACAGAGAAAACAGAGAAAGAAACAAAGACAAATAAAAAAAGAACAAATAGCAAAACAAACCAGTGAAAACCAAAAAAAAACAAAGAAAGAAAGAAAAGAAAAAATCAGTGAAAATCATGAAAGAAACTAAGAAAGCCAGTGAGAATATGAAGAAAAACGATGAAGAAATAGAAAAAGTAAAATAAAAATAAAGGAAAATGAAGAAGAAGAAAATTAGGACAAGCGAGCTAGCAAGTACTGGTGAATCGATCGAAAACAGTGAAAAAAGAGAGACGTAAATGGGCTGTCCTAGTTGCTACAGGTGAAGGAAACCCTTCAGATGAGGGTACCATATATCTCGCTAGATATCGTCGCCGCGCGTTGACTGTTCCAGTCATCGGCACGGCTGTCTCCTCAAGATATGGGCCTCTGGACCTCGTACGTGCGATGAAGCAGCAGGCTGCCCTATGCCCATGTCCAACCGTTCGTCTGGGCAAATGTAGGGCTCAGGTCCAGAATCCGACCTCTCTTTCACAGTTTCGACGAATAAATTTGTGCAACGTAATCTTTAAGATTATTTCTAAAGTGCATGCTAACCGGTTGAAACGAGTTTTGCCGGAGATTATTTCTCATGAGCAATCCGCATTTGTACCTGGTAGACTGATTACGGATAACATCATTGCTGCTTATGAGTGCCTCCACTTTATGAAACGGTCGAGAAGCAAAAATAATTCTCACTGTGCATTGAAGTTGGATATGATGAAGGCCTATGATCGCGTTGAATGGAACTATTTAGAGGCTGTTATGATCAAGCTCGGATTTAACTCACAATGGGTGAATAAAATTATGGCTTGTGTGTCAACGGTATCCTTCTCTGTTTTGGTTAACGGTGTGAAGATTGACGAGTTCAAACCATCGAGGGGCTTTAGACAGGGAGACCCTATATCTCCATACCTGTTTTTGTTAGCCGCGGAAGGTCTTTCATGTTTACTGAAAGCTAGCAGTCAGAATATGAATGTTCGGGGTGTCGTGGTAGCCCCTACTGCTCCTCCCGTTAATCATCTTTTATTTGCTGATGATTGCTTATTAATGTTCAAGGCAAACGAGGAGGGGGCCACAATTATCAGAAATGTTGTCCGCACTTATTGTGGTGCTTCTGGTCAGAGGGTTAACCTTGCAAAATCAAGTATCTTTTTTGGGAAGGGTTGCCCTAATAGTATGAGAACTGTGATAAAAAATCTTCTGGATGTCCCAAATGAATCGCTGGCTGAACGGTACCTGGGGCTGCCGTCTGATGTTGGGAAGTCAAAAAAGGTGTTTTCAAATATTTAAAAGACAGAGTTTGGGCCAAGGTGCAAGGGTGGATTGAGAAGTGCATGGCGTCCGCAGGGAGAGAAGTTTTGATAAAATCAGTGGCTCAAGCTATACCTACTTTCTCAATGTCTTGTTTTCTGCTACCTCGTGGTTTATGCAAACATATAGATACAATGTTGAGGAAGTTTTTTTGGGGCAGTAGGAATGGAGAAAGAAAGGTTGCTTGGGTATCCTGGGAGACTTTAACAATGCCCAAGTACTTGGGTGGTTTGGGTTTTCGGGATACACAGGTCTTTAATTTGGCAATGTTGGCAAAACAGTCATGGAGATTGTTGCAAGACTCAGAATCGCTTAGTGCTAGAATTTTAAAGGCAGTGTACTACCCTCAATCAGATCTGCTTGAGGCGGAGCTTGGAAGCCATCCTTCTCAGGTATGGAGAGCAATTTTTGAAGGCACAAATGTCCTGAAGCAGGGCTTAATCCGGAGAATTGGAAACGGACATAGCACACACATTTGGAATCAGAACTGGATCCCGAGGGATCATATGCTTCGAGCGCTGCACCCGCGGTCTCAAAACCCGCCAGAGTTGGTATCCGATTTGATGGATATTTCTATTAGAAGCTGGGACAGAATTGCTTTGAGGGAACATCTGCAGGAAATTGATGTGCAGAAAATTTTGCAAATCCCTTTGAGTTCCTATAACAGACCTGACACATGGGCATGGCACTATGAGCGGTCTGGAAATTTTTCTGTACGTTCAGCGTATAGATTGCTAATGGAGACTAAGAGGAACAGAGAAGCTTGGCTCTATGAGGCTCCTGGAAACTCTAATACCGAGGGTGACAAGAAGCACTGGAAGAATCTCTGGAGTATGAAAGTTCCAGCTAAGTTGAGAAATTTTGCCTGGCGCCTTGCGAGAAACTCGGTGCCAACGGAAGAGGTTAGAGCTCATCGGAATATGACTGAGTCGAGTGTATGCCCAATATGTAACTCAGCAGAGGACACCTGGAAACATGCTTTGGTTCAATGCTCTATGGCAAAGTGTGTATGGTCCTTGGTGGATGAAGAGCTTGTGGAATACATGATTGCATGCAACCACAGAGATGCTAAGCTTTGGTTAATTGAACTTCAGGACTCCATGGGACAAGACACGTTTGTGAAGCTGCTAGTTTCTCTCTGGTCCATATGGTGGGTCAGGAGGAAGGCTGTTCATGAAGAACAATTTCAGTCACCACTAACTACCTACTCCTTCATTCTGAGATACCTCGCTGATTTGGAGAATCTGAAAGCGGAAAAACCAGTTCAAAAATCATCTGTTATTCGCCATATGCCTAGATGGACTGTACCTCCGGAGGGTTTTGTTAAAATAAATGTTGATGCAGCTATTGGTAGGAATGGCGATCGTGGTGCGGTGGCTGTTATTTGCCGAGATGAAACGGGTGCATATCGGGGAGCCTCAGCCATCTCTGTTTCTGATATGGTTGATCCAGGAATTTTAGAAGCTATGGCGAGTGGCGAGGCTCTGTCTTTAGCGGCGGATCTGGGCTACCAGAAGATACAAGTTTCAACTGACTGTGCCGCAACGATCACACACCTCAAAGGCAACTACAATGGCACGTCTGCAGCTGTTATTCAAGACCTGAAGAGAAGGACGCTTGATTTTGTTTCCGTGGAATTTATCCATGAGAAGAGGGAGTTTAATCTTGAGGCTCATAAGCTCTCAAAGGCAGCAATTACTTTACCTTTCGGTCGTCATGTATGGCTTCAAATCTTACCGGACATCATTTGTATCCCCGAACATATCCTTAGTTAATTTTAGTTTGCTGCTCTCAAAAAAAAAAAGGTCCAGGCTCCAGCGACGACTCGACGCATGCATCTCTTCATTTCTTTCTCTGTCTGTCGCTGCCGATTGATGCCTCGCTCCAGACGGCAACACCTGACCACGAAGAAGGCACGAGCAGTTCAGAACTCATTTACATCGGCCACGGATCGACAGGCCCTATGAGGCTTTGACCGTGAGTTTCGTCAATTTTGTTCTTTTCATCTTTTGAATGTTGCCTTTTGATTTGTGAGTTTTGTAGCTAATATTATTGTTTTCATCTTCCATATACTAGACGTATAATGTTCCATGATTTAAAGTATTGTCTTCGCATCTATCGGCCCGCAAAGCATGACCCACTTATAAATGTGCCTCGGTGGGCCGTGCCATGCCTGGCACGTTTAAGTGTGGGTTGGGCCGTGCCGTGCCATGGCGACCAACTAGGGCAGGTTTGCTCAGGCTCATCATATTTTCAGCTTATCAACATATATTTTTCTATCGCCCAAAGGCTTAATATGCTCACAGACGCATTAGCGGCGTGTGGGGTGAACCTTGGTGACTAATCCCAGCATCTGTGCACGCACTATGCCTGTATGGTTGATCTGGTGGCCAACGGTTTGGCCAGCTGCTTGGTTTAATGGAAGGAAGTTTCGAAAGTAAAAAAAATTACAATCACGCTGCATTTCACGCATGCCCGCTTTTTTGACTTATTTTGGTGTCACAAGTTGGTTGTTGAAATTACCATACGTACGTGGTGCCACTCGTCCATATCGGGCCGTACATGCTTGATCGTACGTACCACTTGAAAGCTTCACGGATGAGAGAGTGGTCTAGAAAGAAGAAAAGATGCCAAAAATGCTACACGTACGGGCGACGTTGTACGGGATTAATGGATGGGCTTACGTGGGATTTCTGGTTCGATGAAAATCAAGCTTTGCTACACGTACGGGGGATTACAGGGTGTTACGACAGTTTTTAATTGGTCATTGGTAGAGGCGCAGGCTCACCCCCATTGAATTCAGGTGGGGGATGTTTAGGAAGTTTGAAAGGAGGCTGTAGAATCCCTGCAATAGCCTGTACGTCTAGCATTTTTGATGAAAATCAGGGGAGAAAGACTAGTGAGGAAGGTTCTGTAATTATTCTGTAGATTAATCGTAAGTGTACGTAGCATTTTTGGCGCGCAGCCAACCTGCGCGTGCCAGCTGATGGATGTGCACGAGCACACTCGCTGTCCCCATCAATGCCCAAGAAATCAGGAGGGAACACGCAACGCAATTACTCCCTTCATGAGCGCCGGCACAAAAGAAACCCCAGAGAAAGAGACAGATGGACTATTGGTTGATCAGAAGTCCCCAAGCAATACGTCAACCTTTCATGTGGGAAAAGCAAAGCAAAGTTCACTATACATGTGATCCCTTTCACCAAAGAGATGGACCCGAGGAAAGAGGCTGCTGGATGCACCCTGGCTGACTTTTGCATGCATGGAAATCACACCAGCACAGGGAGGAGGAAGGCTCCATATGATATGTGGTCACATGCAGCTGAGGAAAGCAGCAGGCTGCCAGCACTGCAGGGCTTGGTGTCTTCCAATAAAAGGAGACCATGGGGAGAGGAGAAGCTTCGTTTCAGAGGTCAGTCTAGTGTGGAGGAGTGCCGGCCATGGCCGTTGAGGCATATTAGGCTAGGCTATATCTCTATTTATCACAACGTACCTAGGTACTCTTCAACTAGCTATATATAGTTGCCTAGCTATATTATCTGGCGGCACCAACGACATGGGGAGGCCGCCATGCTGTGACAATGGTGGCGCCAGCGTGAAGAAGGGGCCATGGACGCCGGAGGAGGATATCATCCTTGTCTCCTACATCCAGCAGCACGGGCCCGGGAACTGGCGCTCCGTGCCCGAGAACACCGGTTGGTTTTATGCATCCCACATGCGCTTTCAGTATATATATCCACGTGGTAGATGATTCTTGTCTTTTGATCGACCAATCTAGGAGAGTAGTAATTAATACAATATGTTGTTGCTTGTTTGCTTTGGTGATGGATTGGTTAATTGTAGGGTTGATGAGGTGCAGCAAGAGCTGCAGGCTGCGGTGGACCAACTACCTCAGACCCGGGATCAAGAGAGGGAACTTCACCCAGCATGAGGAAGGGATAATCATACACCTGCAGGCATTGCTTGGCAACAAGTAAGTAATCATATGTCCATCTTGACCGGTGTGTTGCTGAAAGATAATATTTAACAAAAGCGATGCTCATTTCATATCTTTCTTAGGGCTCTCATATTCAACAAAATGAATGTTCACCCTGTTCCAACTAAAATCCTTTGGGTTGAAAGACAGTTTTGTTCTAATTACTTCCATCTTCCATATGTGCTACCACTTTTACTATTTCAATCTCCAAAAATTGGTCTTGCTTGTTTAGTGTCAACTCCATTAAGCAAAACCATAACTTTGTAACAGACACATATGAACCTTCAACTGTCAAAAAACTATTCCGTGTTTTCCAATTTTGTATGCATGTGTGTGAACTTGGTGCTGACTATATTCTTCCTATGCAAATTCAGGTGGGCAGCAATAGCCTCCTACCTCCCCCAAAGAACAGATAACGACATCAAGAACTACTGGAACACACACCTCAAGAAGAAAGTGAAGAGGCTGCAACAACAAACACATCCTGCAGATCACTTCTTCCAGCACACATCCACTGCCACCAATGCAGCTGAGCAAACCACCAGCATGAATTACTACAACCCTAGCAGCAGTAACCTCGACTCCGCCATGCAAGCCGCCATGGGTTACCCCGAGACCACCACGGGCAACGTTGCACCTGCCACCATGGCCGTCTCGAAGCTCTTCCAGTCTTGGATGCCGAAGGTCCCATCGCCGGAGATGGCGGACTACAAGGGTATGGTGGCCATGCAGGAGTTCCGGACCGATGGAGAGGCCGGTGCCGCAGTTTCCATGACCAGTGGCGACAGGTTCTCGTCCTCAGAGATATTGGCCAGCCGTGGCAAGGCTGCCACGGCCATGACCTTCTCGGTGCTCGAGAACTGGTTGCTCGACGACATGACACCGGGGCAGGCTGCCATGGACGGGCTCATGGACATCTCTTCTGGTTGCTGTGCAAACCCCATCATGTTTTGATAGGCCCTGTCTGTTTCTTCGCACTCCTGTCTCCTGGTCGCCAATCTTGTGTTTCCGGTTAATAAGCCGTTGGTTTTATAAAGGTATAAATAAAAGACAGAGATAACGAGCTCCATATGTCCTCCTTATCCCCGTCGCCCCTTATTCTTAGATTCGGACTCACAGCTGTATATGCATGCGTATTGACAGAATTATATGCATGCATATTCCACACCACGGTCCACCTACCTACAGTCATTAATGTAACCTTGCTAGGCCAAGATATTTAGAACAAAATTTGCATTAACTTAGATACAGTAATTAATTAGCAATTATTATATTTTGTTGAGCTAGCATTCACTCCCTCCATTTCTAAATATAAATCTTTCTATAGATTTCACTATGAACTACATACAGAGAAAAACGAGCGAATCTACAATCTAAAATACGTCTAATATATATATATATATATATATATATATATATATATATATATATATATATATATATATATATATATATATATAAACACTATTCTGATCACGAGATCAGAATATTCTGATCACAACTTGACCTGCCCCGCTAGTAGTACGTTGAACTTCTCTGTGAACTAGGTTGAACTTCCGCCAACATTGCCCAAATGGGACTTGCGATATACCGTTGGAAAGCTATGGACCCCAATATCATGACCCAACTCAAATTTTTGGCAAAATATAAGCGGTTTAAGAGCAGTTTTGAAAACCGTTTTTTCTTCGCACAAAAAACGTGAATCGTATTTTTGATCGCATTTCTAAACCGTTTGTCGGAATAAGGCATATAATATGGCGTTGGAAATCTGCTGCAAAACAGCTCCTTCCACATGTTGAAATTTTTCTCTAATTCCCTATGGTTAAAGAGTTTTTTGAAAAAAACGTAAAATTTCGTAAACCGAACAGCTGAGTTCGTTTTTTCGATGTCATTTCTAAATGGCTAATCCAATGGAGGCATATGATATGGCGTTAAAAACCTTATGAAAATGCGCTACTTTTTCATCTTGAAAGTTTTTTTTTCTAATTTTGAATTGTTTAAGAGTAATTTAGAAAATGGTCAAAGTCCTACCGAGTTCGTATTTTTGAGCTAATTTTTTAGTGCGTCCGAACGCAGAAAATGATATGGAATTGGAAAGCTTGAACAAATGCGAAACTTTTCTATATATATTGTTTCTCCTAATTCATTACGGTTTAATGTCAGTTTTGAAAATGGCTATAAACATATTTTCATCATATTTTTTACAAACTTTATCGGAATGGGGCAAATAATATACCGCTGAAAAGCTAAGGAAAATGCGAAACTTTTTCATGTTGATGGTTTTATCTGATTCCTAGCTGTTTTCAAGTAATTTCGAAAATGGCGAGATCATTCGTTCTGCCTTTATCGCGAAACAGATTCTTCGAAAATGCACCGTGTGGAGAATCTGAACTTCTCGGTGAATGTACTTGAACTTCACTCTGTTTTTCACGTGATTTTTTTGCTCGTAGCTCTCCATTCACTGCTCGTAGTTCTCCATCCACTCACCGGAATTGAGCAAATGACATATCGTTCGAAAGCTGCTGTAAACATGCAACTTTCCCGTGTTGATCGTTTTTTCATACTCGCGACGATTTCAAAAGTTTTTCATCTAAAATTCATCCACTGTACTAGTTGAACTTCCTGCTGTTTTCAGTTGAACTTCTGTGACGTATTTTCGTTTGTCATTTTCCCATCCATCGTCAGTGTTACACAAATGATTTTTCTTTTGTACAAATTTCTCTTACAATAATTTTTTTTACTTTCTCCGATGAAGTACTTGAACTTGTAACAACAAAACTTTTAGCATTTGCTTTTTTATTCCTTTTTAATACAAAATGCACACCGTGTAGTACATGAACTTCTGGCAGTTATCAACGTGAACCTCTCTCGGTTACGTGAAAATATTTGAGTTTTAAATGAATTTTTCATCCGATTTTTCTTAATCTTTTTATGAATTTTGAAGTGCTCTATTTTTAATAGTTGAACTTCTTGTTATTTTATTTTTGAACTTCTTGTTTCCATTATTTAATAACAAGGAAAATCTGAGTTTTCTATAATAATCGAACTTCTCCATCTTTTTAATATGGCCTTCTTGGTTTTATTTCTTAATCTTTTTTATGAAATTTTGAAGCGTTATATTTTTTAAAAGTTGAACTTCTTGTTTTTTTATTTGTGAACTTCTTGTTTCCATTCTTTTAATGATGTGGAAAATCTGAGTTTTCTATAATCATTGAACTTCTTCATCTTTTTAATATGGACTTCCTGATTTTATTTTCTACATCTTTTTCATTTCTTAATTAAACATCAAACTTTTCCCCGTTTTTAAATTGAACTTCTTGGCTTTATTCTTAGAAACAAGAAGAATTTGAGTTTTTTTTGTATACATCGAACTACTTCAAAATTTATTTTAATTTGAACTTCTTGATTATTTTTAAATCGAATTGCTCCGTTTTTTAAATTTGAACTTCTTGTTTTTTGTAAGAAACCTCAAATGTTCGAATAAATATCATTTAAAAAATTGAACTTCTTGGCCTTCACTTTTTAGGCGTATGATAATTCTATTTTTTATTATAAACTTTGAATGCTAATTTAATTTGAACTTCATTGTTTTTGTACTACGAAGCACAAAAACAGAAAATAGCAAACACAAATAGCAATACGAAAAATAAATGAGAAACAAAATATATTTTTTAACAGCTCTGCTATTTTTGTTTGATCATTTCAGTTATCTTTTTACTATTACAAGAAAATCCTTGTGAGTGTTTTTGTACCCCCATTACTTTTTCTTTGAACTCCAATTTTATTAATTTGAACTTCGAGAATTAACATTTTTTTCTAGGTGTCGGTTTGTTTTTTCTTGGTATATAAAAAGGCACTGCTTTGTTATGTTAATTTGAACTTCTTGGTTTATTATTTATTGATAGAGAATTCCGAGTTTTGTAATATTTGAACCACTCCTTATTTAACTTTGGAATTCTAGGTTTTTTAGATACATGGAAAATTTGGCGTTTACAAAAAAATAAAGATTATATGGCTGACCATATTTTTAAGTTTTTTAATTGCATTAATTTTTACTTTATGTGAACTTGTCCTTCACTCCTCAAAACTCTTTTTACTAAACATTTGAACCCATGTGTTATTTTAATTTCAACTTGAAGAAACAGAAAATTATATTTTTAATGGATAACGAGATGCTTTTTTTAAGGTTCAACTTCATATATTTATTATTCAAGAAACGGAAAACATCTTTTTTTTACAGGCGTCGAACTTCTCCATTATTTCAATTTGAACTTCTCTGTTTTATTCTTTAATAACGAGAAAAATCTCAGTTTTTTATCAACTTTGAACTTCTCTGCTTTTTAAATATGAACTTTATTTTTTGTTCACTACATTGTTTCACTATTTTAGTTTACACTATTTTTCTATATGTGAACTCTGTTCATTTGTATTTTTGGACTTTTGATGTGATTCATATGTGAACTACAGAATTAGTGGTTTGTATTTTTTTCGTGAAATCTGCTTATATAATTTTACAAAGTGTCTGCATACTTTAAAAAATGGTTCTGTAATTTAAAATGTGTTTGTGCTTTTTGAAAAAAATACAAGATTTTTCAAAAAGTGCCTTTGCGTTTTAAATTGTTTGTATTAGTTTTTAAAAAAGAGTTTATGTATTGAAATATTGTTCACATTTTCTTAAAAAATCACCCTTTTTAAAAATGTTCATGTAATTCTAGAAGTGTTTGCATGTTAAATAGTTTTGTAGTTTTAGAAAGGTTATGTGATTTAAGAAAGTGTCCGTGTGTTTTAAAAAGAAAATGTTAATGCATTCTAGAAAAAAATTACAATTAAAAGCAAGTTGGATTATGAGGAACGATGTATGAAGTAGGTGCAGAGTGTAGCTCGTGTAGGGCGGCCCTTAGGTCCAGCTCGACTAGATTAGTTTATAAAAATTATAAATACCCCTTTGCTTTGGCGCAGTTCAATGATAAGTTTGTTGTGTGATGGCCAAGATCAAAGGGGATTTTTTTCCTTACCCACTTGTGGGCCCTAAATTCCTGATTGATTTTTCTTTACAAACTGCTAATTGGAGCAGTCGAATAACCTGGGTTAATTTGTTTCTCGATCAATCCTGTGTAAGGTTAATGCGTAGTGCCTTTTCACGTATTTTCTCTTGACATCGAATTGATATGCATATTGCACTCGGTGAGAAATTTTTCAATAACTCACACCAATATACTAATCTAGATACCGTCAACAATCTAGACATTATCCTTCATCTGATTGTTTCGTTGGCCATACATCAATATCTGTGCCATATGTGGATGTGAACTAGATGTTGCCAACTCTGACATCACCCTTGATGAGGTCATCAGAATAACATTTGAAAGGAAAAGTTTAGTGTCATTTTATTGTATCATTTTGTTAGCATCATCCTTACAAGTTTAGAGTAGCGAGCCTCCGAAGCTTCGTCTTTCATCTTTTTTTCTCACTCATCATTTCATACCAATCATATTGGACGTTATATTTGTAAAGTCTTGTGAGAATAATTAATAAAGTGGCCGTATGCATCGCCCAGATGCAGAGGCCGGGGGTCCTCCTCCTTTAAAAAGAAAAGAAAACTCATGTATCGCAACAATTACCAAGACATCGTGAACAAAATGCTCAAAGATTGTGTGGATCTCGCCCACAAAGATGACAATGACAATAAGCTACAAGCTGAGCTAGAGACAGAAGATGGCGACGAAGAAGGCAGACTATGTGAAGTTGATGCCAATGACCAAGAGATTGATGCGTCGCAACTGCTTCGCGAAGGCATTGGCTTACCACATCGGCTTGTTCACGAGGTCACCACGGACGAAATCCTAGTCTTTAAGGTTGACATCGACAGACAAAAGCTGGTGGAGCTAAGGGACATTGGAGACCATGCGATGTTCGTTGGGCTTAACTCCGTTGTGTGCCTTCTGACAAAGGAC